TAATACTATTGTCATTAATTCTTAATTCAAGTAGTTAGTGCATGTAAGTAAACAGATTATATTTTCATTAGACCACAATCTGATTTTTCTTTTTCCCTCTATCTTGGACACCTCTGTAAGTTGGATACATTTTCGTGGAACACCAAGTGTCCAACTTAGAGAGGTTTTACTGTACACATAAAACAAGGAAGTATAAAATGATATTCTCAAAACATTGTGGCAATTAAAAACATGTCACTTGGTTTGAATAAGTTATCTGACGTGGAAACGTGTCAGGTAACTTGTGTAATAATGATTCTGCTGGAATTACTTAATCACGTTTTAAATTACGTTTCTAAAGTTGGTACTGCTTCCATTTCTAGGCGAAAGCAGGGAGGAATCGAGAAGGGAGTAGGCCATTGTTCTCCCACCAGCCGCCTGGAGGCAGATGTAAAACTAATTCTAGACATGATGTGGTTTGAAACTACTTCGACAAACAAAGTATTACAGAATAATGAAAACAGTGTGATACACCATCCTCAGAATCCGAAAGCTTTGACTGTGTCTGATAGAATTTCCATGCATTCATGTGCCAAACGCTAACCTCATCAAAAGGAGTTACTTCACCCGAATTAAATTTTCAATAATCATCCTCGCACCATAAATAGTTTAAATCATGACATAAAAGTATTTAAGCCAGCACTAAACGAGTATCTCTTATCTTATTTATACACAGTAGAATAATTTACTTTAAACAATAACTCTCAATTATTATTATAAATACACATTCAAAACACACTTGTTGCGAAATGTTGTCAGCTGTACTGGGTAAACAATGGGTCTATTTAATCTCAGAGAATGCTTATAAGCACTTCAAGCCTCCATATATTATTGATTTGATATTATCTATAATTTTATACTGACCTCGAGACGTCATATTTGGAAGATAGAAACAACGAAAGACGGATGAGAAAAGAAAGGTTATTTCTAGAAACTAACCTAAAGTCGACTTCACTCCATCACAAATTCTTGCCACTCTTATTAGCAGTGGTACCAACTTTGACGCTATAATCGTGGGTTTAGAGGCGCTCCAACTTAGTTAAGTGGTTGCACAATTAACCGCTTGCAGAGAGGGAGTTATGCATTTATACGAAAGAATGCACAAGTGATAACAAAGATATTACCATAACTCGATATTAACGTAATTTTACTATGCTAATAATTCAATTTTACTTTTTCGTTCCGAAAGAATGGTTTACGACGGCTTAATGATGTGCGTCTGTAGCCTATATGATTATAAATAACTGGATACAATATATAACTAAATAACAGGTTTTTATTAAACGTGGTGGGCTTACAAACAGAAATGAATCAAGATGTCAGCATTATCGGTTGTTGCGTCATATAGTGTGGTAGACGTGTATCGACGTTTCAGTGGTGCTCGCTATTTCCATCAACAGGGCACCTCTGAAACGTCTGTTACCTTCTACCTGACTACATGGTTTCAACATCCCAAAAGACAAGTCATCTTCAAACACGTCGCCATGAGAACCTGAAATCTCACCAGGAAATATTATGCTGAACAAGAATAAATTCATGAATAGGTTTTGTTGATACTGAAACCCAGAACACCACAGACATGTGTTCGATTTCAATTTTCAGCGGCGATATTTTGCTGTGAATAAACTAGTTGTGTAAAATAATAAGTAAACTGCATAATTTATTTGGTTTGATCTCAGTAATTGATGAACCACTGTATTCTAGGCAGGCTCCATGCTACATTTGACCACATAGGACAATTATCAAATTATATCAAACCACTTGTTTATGTGCTATTAAAATATCAATACAAACAACGAGTCTGTCCTACAAATATTAAATTGGCTTACCGTGTAACTCGGCGACCTTACAGATTGCATGTGAAGGGCAAATTGTGTATGTAAGTAGGCATGGAATACTTAACCACGTACAGCCATGAATAACAAAAGTCTAGAAGCAACAAGACCTATACAAATGACCCGTTTCGTAATGATAAGAGAAAAACATTTATTACAAATCATATTATCATCCTCAAGAATCCAAACATCCCTAAATTATATGGAAAAGCATAATCATATTAATATTCTTGGTTTAATTATGAATTCTTAACTGCATAAGTTATACAGTGTAAAATGAGGAATTAATTATGATAATTATAATTGCAAGGAAGTGAATATTTCCTTTTGTTACAGTACACTAGACACAAAAAAAAACTTTGAGCCTGTGCAGCGTTACAGTAAAAGGGAAAGGGAAGATAGAAAGGGGAGCAGGGGTTAAGATGCCTCACGCGCTACCGCTTCCCCTCACCCCATACCAAGGCTGGCTAGCCACCAACATGCGTATTTGTAACACAGCTCAGAGACAGATATCACGACGTTTCAAGAGCAATCTCTGCTCTCGGAACATTGGCAGGAGATATGATTTACTCACCATTCAGCCACCTGGCGCGGCTTGTAACACGAGGGTCTTTCATCAGTCTCTCCCATGTTTTGAAATGCCCAAAATTTCTGTGAAATGTGAATGATTTCTGCAGTTGCAACTACCTTACGCAGTTTAAACGTTTCTTCACGTGCGTACCGGTATATGAACGGATTTCACTGAATGTTCCTATATACATTACATTTTTCATTGTATAACTTCAGGTTTTGGGGATGAGCGTCAAATGTTGAAAATAATCCTGTTGGCAAACACTGAATTTGCCATCTGCAGGGTGAATTTATAATGGGAAATCATTTTGGCGACCGTATAATAGGGCACAAAGTAGGTGGATTGCCCAGTATTTTTCATTGCTGCTACAACACAAAACCATTAAAATTGAAGATAAAATATCTAACATCTCAATATGCTTGAGTATATTTTCAGGGAGCCATTTAAAGAAAACAGATTACACTTTATATGAAGGCAAATATGGTAATTTAATAAATAACTCAGTTCATATTTTCAAAGAAAGAGTTTTATTCTCTTATTCGAATGTGAACAAGGCATTCAATGTCTTGCACAGCTTACTTACTTACTAAGTCTGTACAGGGATGTACAATGTTAAAAGGGTTTTGGGTAGAGTCGTTTCTATAAATTATAATGCCTCTCAAAACTGTCAAAGAAAACATAATCAAGACAGCAGGTATTAACAATTAAAAATCTGAGCTCATTACCTCACGTTTAATCACAACAATTAAAACTCTACATCAGAAAGAAGAATAAAAGACTAGGAGAACATTACTTTTGTTACTTACTAAGTTTTTGATATGAGTTGTCGAGATTTCTTTATTTTCTTTAAAATTAATTGATATTATATTATTTCACTGGTAAGTATTCTTATCAGAACCTTGTAGTACGAGACCCTTATTCGTATTTGTAGTAGGAGACGATCGATGACTGGCGATGCAACTGCCGTAGTTACCAAAGCCTCTTGTAGGACTCTCAACAACAGACTGACCCACGTTATTTGAAGCAATCGCTCTGCCTTCTTTCCTACTGCAGTTCTCCTTGGGGTTTGCGGATGAGAGTGAACTAGAGCTGACCCCGGAGTCACTAGACTTTTCGCTAAGACAGCAACCACTTCGTCCAACGCCCATCACATTGCCACTCTCACAACCGAGTCCTAGATCACTGCTGCCACCTACCACATATTTCACCACGGTCAATTTGGCGTTTGTCTCGCAAGGATCCTCTGAAATTATCACTGTCCCACTATCAGCTCCAGCACTAGGAGACGGCGATGATGCAACTTGGGGCAAAACGTCTGTCGCGGAGGCGTTCGTTGCGACGGCACTGAATGTATTGGACGGCGAACGTTTCTTACCAGGAGAATCGAGGACTTGTTGCTTACTGTTGCATCTCAGACTTCCAACAGGGGATGAAGTCAACGGACTTCCTGCCTTGCGACACGACTCCACAGTCACAAGCTTGCCTCGCGCTACTACGTACGAATCCGTTTTGAACTCGGCACCAAAACTGCCAGTGCAAGTCCTTATTGGGGAAGAAGAGGAAATGGAAGTAGAAACTGAGGAAGCGCTAATTAAACTTCTCCCACCACCCTTGATACCTGTAAAATCACCTGAAGGTAAATGAGTGATGGAAGACGCTGACGTACCGGAAGAAGTGACAGGTATATTGGGAAGGAAGCTCTGTTGTTGAGGAAGAGGGGATTTGAGAACCATACCTTGTTTACTTGAGTCCACATCAGACAATACGCCCTGCAGCTTGCTGCTGCCCCCTCTGTACTGCAACTCGCTACCCTCCGCAGTTCCCACCCCTACACCACCACCATTTCCACTTGAACACTGATGAAGCAGAGGATGTTGCAGTGGTGTGATTAAACCAGAATCTAAATTATTAGGAATTTCTCTGTTACTACGCGTCCTCAAGGTGCAACCTCCTTGTGGCCTCAGCAAACTCACACATCCTTCTTTCACCTGATCCCTACCGTCTTTACCGCACTTGGAAGAAGAGCTCCGACAGGACTTGTGGTGATGGTGGTGCTGGAGGGTGGAGCCCGTAGGAACAGGCTTCTTGTGATGATGGTGGTGGTGATGTGAATGTAGACGCTCCTTCGTGTCAGCGGTGGCTGAATCGTAGCAACCGGAGTCACGAGGGAACTGGAGCCGTTGAAAGGAAGACTTGGAAACATCCAGTGGATGCTGTTTCTGCTGCAAGGCTGAACACTCGGAGTGTTGGCTAACAGATCCAGCATCCTCATCTGCACTGCTAGATGCTGGTCCATCACCATCCGTGTCCTCTGGACTGTCTGGTGCTGTAAAGTCCACAACAGTAACAATGTAGTAGTAGAGGAAAACAACGAAATCTCATGCCTCAGGAGTGGTGACAGAGGATTTTGTTGCATTGGTGAAACACAGACTTAAAGTGTAGTAACAGGAGAAAAACTTGTTCCAGTGCCATCTTCGACCCACCACAATGTCTACACAAAACATCATGGAACTGAACACAGGATTCTCTGATAAGATGTCAACATTTAACTAGTGGAACAATGGTACAGTCTTATTCTCTTAAAATTTACAGAGAAGTTAAGAAGCTAAGAACTTTAAAACTTGTTAGAAATAAGTTTCAATTCATTTCACTCCCAACTGAATTTCAACAGGTCTTTTCTACCAACTGAAATAAACATGGGCAAGAGGTGAAAAGGGTGAGGTATGTACTAGTGGCATCCATTCCACGCTTCAACCAAATACTTTATACACAAAATCTGTGAAGCTGATTGACTCATAAGGGCACACGACAGCAGATGTGCAAAACCCCGGACAGTACTCCCTCTTACCTAAACATTTACATTATTGACAATTTACAGGAATGCATAAAACAAAATAATATAAAACGACCATCACAGAAAACTTTGGCCATTCAAAGCTGTCATTTCTTAAAAAAGTTTTCATAATGCTATTTGCAATCTCAGAGTTACGTACAGTCATAATCATGTAGCAGCTGAACAGCTGTAAGTATCTTGGCTCTATGTTCAGGATTGCTGATACCCAAGTAATCCAAATCCTCTCCTTCCAGATCCTCAAACAGCTCCAAGTCTTCATATCCATTGAGGACAAACACAGAGATGTGCTCCTGAAAGACATTTTTATATTACTAGAAAAATGTCACTGACCATCAATTAATTAAATGTTTAATACAAAACAAATGTCTCAATAAACAATAAGCAGACTGAAACATAGCTTGGAAAAAATTTGTAATCATTAATGGGAACATTTCGCATTATGTTTTTAACTTCACATTACTTTTGTTTAATACATGAAAATTAAATACTCATTCGAATTATATTTTTCTTGTTTATGTGCACACGACATACACATAAATATACACAAGTAAATGTTTTTACGCATAATCCGAAAACTTCGATATGCCACGTCACATATTATTGTTTAAAAAACTGCTACTGGGGCGCGTTTTGTAACCTCAGTAGCATACAACTGGAAACTGCAGATGTACAGACATGTAAACAAAAACAAATGAAAATTTACCGACCTCCAAGTTCATCCTCTGAAGCAATTCCTCCACAGAATGGGGCCTGCCTCTAGCACCAGAACCGCAGTGTCTCCCGCTATACTTCCCGCCCGAACGCTGGCGTACTCCGGTCACTCGTTGGCACATCTTATCACTCAGCAGTTCAACATTGATGAATTTAAAGTTTCCAATTCGGTTGTGCAGAACTCCTCTCCACAGCCCACTTGCATTCTTTGACACCACATCAATTATATCTCCTTTCTGAAACCATAACAAAACTTCATCATTTTCATTCCTATTCTATAAACACAAAGGAATATTCTAAATTATGCATAAATTTCAAAATTCACTCATTCGTTCTTGTGACAATTTTGAAGTCACTTATTTATGATTTATTTAATGATACCAGTAGCTCGAAGTATACGACAGCAAAGTTGATGATACATAACTGGCAACATTCCTTTCATGTATGTTCGTAAATCACATTTCACTGGTAGCCATAGCAAACCGGAAATGAATCACTGAATGCTTCATCTGGCATCTGCTGCCATCTGGCGAAAACACCATATATCCTTTACTTTGAAGCACTCTTTTTTAATATTTTAAAATTTCTGAAATCGGGGTGCACCTTACATTTGATGGCATCTAAGAATCGATATAGTGTCTTTTTTACTGGAAACCTGTTACTAAATCAAGGATGCATCTTACATCTAAAGCAGCCCATCCACGTACGAGTCTGGCTTGCGAGTCCGGCTTGGCTCGGGGTCCATCGGGCCAGACTCGTCTGTGGGTGGGGTGTCACGAGCCGAGTCTGCTATGCATGTGTGGTGAAATATATCCGAGCCCGGCTCATGAATCAAGCTCGCTGAGCCAGACTCGCAAGTCAGACTCGTACATGGATCACTCGCTTAATGATATCTTAAAATAGAGGACATTCAGTAATTCAGGCTCCTTTAAACATAAAAACTATGCGGATATACAGTTGGGTGTTCAAATCCCAAGCTCGTGTATATTAAAGGTTAATATTCCATACACATAAGCAAACATAACTTAGTTTTTAAAGTGGCTGACTATGAGAGGAATGACTGGGGTCTAATTCTTGGCAAGAGTCAGACTTCTCTCTTTGCTACATCAAACCTGGCATTGCGATTTGTCTGTCCTCCCACCCAAATGAGTATCGAGGGAGTCCCATATACTCCCATGACGTGGAACTATTCACAAGACACGACATACCAACTTCTTCCTTTCATTTCATTACAAACACACATCATCAGAACATACTGCAACAATGAAACAATATCTTCGATAAATCCACGTTAAAGCTCTACGCAACATCACACAGAACACGAGACGTGCGCATTCACTTAAATACGAGAAACTTTCATTGCTTTAATTTTTTATGCTGATGTACTTACTGCAAAGAATTTTTTCTCACCTTGAATTTAAGAGCATCCTTATCATATGGACTTGGCGTGTAGTCAACAATGGCCCGGGCTTTTCCAATAATTGGACCTACAATTGTAGTGGGAACAGGAACGGTAACAGGACTTGAGTCGCGGTCTTCTGCAGATAAGGAACTGTGGTTACTTCCAGCTGTAGGAACAAGAGCCTGAGTGCCTTAAAACAAAAAGGAAACATTAAATTGATACATGTTCTTGGAAATTTTCCATCGTCTACTGGTTAAAATTAAACATCTTCCGGAAGACAGCTCTACTTCTGTCACCAGGTAAAAGCATAAAACCTCATCTGTTGGGTCCACTGGATCCAGGAATTTAGATTAGCTTCATCTGACGGCCCTGATGATGAAAGCATAAACAGCTTAAAATAACTGAGTAAAGAGATTACAATAATAGGGATGTAAATGGTAGAAAAGTTGGCTGTTAGTCTTCGCCTACCATCCGTACTCTATGCATCACAATACGGAACATATGAATTCACTCTTTCAAGGTCAAATACAGCCAGTGTCTGCAAAACAGTGACGTAACACAGCAAACTTACCGACGGAGGAATCCACAGTCTGAATAACTCTGTCACAGACGAATTTGCCTTACAAAACCTAATGAAAACAGTATGGATACTCACTAGACCCAGAGCCACTAGGCAAACTCTCAACAGAGCTAGCCGAAGGCAATACTTCGCCTCTTCGTTCACTGCCGTCTGCCAGAGATGGAGCCGGTGCGGGTGGAGTAGGATTTGGTCCGGATGCACGCAACTGACATATCTTCTTCTGGACATCTTGCCTCAACCCACGCATACGACCCACTAGTGACACACCGGTTCTACAACCACCAGACTCGCCAGCCTGCAAGATCAACAACTCTTCAAAATAAAAGTGGTTTAACCACTACATCTGTAAGGTTTTTTGTCTGCCAGACTTCAGACAGCAAGATATCATACATATTTTGCAATTCCAATAAACAAAATCAAATTTGGTCCAAACATATCATCTTATTCACCTGTCCCCAAGTTCATGATTCCAAACGTAAAACTATCACTGACTTTCGTACTGGCAAGAATCCCATTTTATACATCACTATGGCTACATTAAAGGTAAAATTCCCTTGACGCTTATTAAGTTCAGCGTCGTGAAGAGACACTGGGGAAGGGAGGTATAGCTCCATTCAATCTTAATCTCAGCATCAGATGAGGTGAATGAATGGTCATCGTCATCTCTCATCTGCTTTACACCTGGGATACAATTTCCTTTTAGAATGTCTCTCACTCTTCGAGACTTACGCCGTGTGTTGTGTTGGGCTGTTTAATTGATTCAAAATCCTCCTGATCTTCATAGTCGGAACTCTGACTCGGTGACAGACCTTCCTCACTTGCACTACTCCGGCTCTGCAACACAAGAGGAACATGGCGGCTCTGAGCGCAACAGAAACAATTTCCAATATACTGTTATTTGTAACAGTAATGAAGACGTGGAAAGTTAAACTGCTAGAAACAACACAGAAATAGTTAATTTGTATAATTTTTACGTTCTGTAACCTACGTAAACCATTTAGGAATATCTAAAATTCACTGTTACAGAAAAACAGACTATCCCTATTATTATGAAGTCAAGAATTACGTCATCTTTTATCAGAACCTTGCAAATATTTACCGTGTATGCTACTAGTTTTCGGAACGGTCGTCCTTTGCCTCCGTGTGCTGACAGATACGCGGGTGATGAGATGCAGTGTCCTTCCAGTTGTTCTGATTTGCTTGTGTCAATTGACATGGTGGACAGACGCGATCCTAGAAGAAAAAGAGACAAAACAATGAATTCCACAGACAGGTTAAGAAGCACATGAACTGAAGTCTCAATTCACTTAGACATGAATTGAAAATTAAGTGGAAATGAGATCTTGATATTCCAATACACATATTAATGTAGCTATGAGGCACACAAAGTGACTATTTCTCCATGTTCATGACTAATTGTGGCCCTTCACAGAATTTTTTATATTTGTGTCACATTTAAAATTCAAATTATTTTATTTATATTTTTATTTGTTAATTGCACAAAGCGCTTGAAATTATCACATAATGGAGGATGGGTCCACATGTCTCTGGAATGATACGGATTTTAATGAAATTTGGTATTGACAATGTGAATATGGTCTGTTTGTAAGGGATTACCTGATAATTCTCCTGGGAACACTGTGGAAATCCAAAGAAACCCACAAAATAATGTCTGATTTACCAGTTATGATCTTAACATCATTCTTTCCAAACAAAGGACATGTTACCATGAGCTAACGTGCTCGGTATCACTTTTCACGCTAAAATCTAGCTAATTTTCACTTGACTGGACTTCAGAGACCAAGAAGAAAAACTGCTTTGAGGTCCAGCGTAAAGAAGAGAATTTTTCTAAGAAGACGCTCCAGTTTGAATTTTAAAAAAATTAAATAATTACATAGCGACCATCACAGTATTTGATATGTCTTAGCTCAGTAGTCCTGGGAGACCGACAATTGTGTAAAATCATTTTTAGTACGTGCGACATCAATGTCCAAGACCGTCTGCAGCCTACGTCAAAAATTTCACACAATTTCAGCTAGAGTTTCTTCACTGATGCTGATCATTGCCACTGAAATTTTTTGTTGCAGTTTTTAAGAAGTGTACGGATTATCTTTGTAAACTGTAGCGTATTCTCTCAAACACAGCGAAGTTTGCTATGTAGTTAGGTAACTGTGCAACTGAAACATCTTTTTAGAAAGATTCTGTGCGTTCAACCTTCTACATACACGACGTAGCTCAACTGTCAATTAATCTTATTCTCATTTAAAGATTTTTCTGAATTATGTTTTATTCCAACAGACCTATACTCTGGACATCCGAGCTTGCATAGTCTCCACTTTCCCTGTCACCTTGTGCATCTCTCATGTGTGGTCCGCTTCCGCCACCCAGCGGAATGATGGTTGCAGGGTATGGACCAGACTGGGGCACGAGGAGACCCCTGCGAGCAGAACCTCGAGGTGTAAGAGAGGACCCTCTTGTTATTCCAATTCCGTGGGCGTGGTGAAGCCAGGCTCCCGACCCGTTAATCGAAGGGTCTCGTGGGATGGAGATGTCGCCGGCTGTCCGAAGAGAAATCACTCCCTCACCCCGAGGCTCTGTCCTCAAGTCCAAAGTGAAGCAAACCCTAAGTTAAAACAGAAAGTAAAAAAGTGAGAATTCAGGTTCTCATGGCAACGGGCATGAAGTGGGCTGTCCTCTGGGTTGTTGCACTTTGTAGTCTTGTAGAGAGAGAAAGTACGGATTGTTTTGATTCGTCTAACTAGGCTTAGTGATGTGAAAACAAACACAATCCATAAGTGTATTACAGATACTCCATTTATAATGGATTATTGCATACACTTCGATCCAGAAACTTACTGAATAACATTTTGTATACATCCTTGAATCTCTATAATATTTCTTCATTTACCCTACATTAAGCAGTATGTGCTAGACATAATTATTTTCAATCTCATCTGAGGGTAAACTGAAAATTCTGCCCAACAGATGGTCCCATACCCCAGGCAGAATGGTCAAATACCATACCTGGATGCGTAAGACATAATGCAGATATAATCGCTGTTACGTGTTGGCTAAGATTAAGTATCCTGTGTGTATACATTTGTAAGTTTTAAATAAATGTTAGCATCTACATAACCAAAATAACATTCAAGAACTGACACATAAAACAAACCTGCCATTCTGAATGGAGCTTATTGGAACTGGGTGACCTGCGTTGGTGCCCATCAAGAAGTCTTCGGGATCACTTTCGTACGGGGGTTCATCATACCAATGGGGTCCAATGCCAGAACAGCGGGCATCGTCATCATACATGTACGTGTCATCTGCAGGCAATAAGTACACTGCTATTGGTTAATTTATTATCATTTATCTACTGCATACACAGACTGCATGATGTCCTAAGGTAGTATTTGTTTGGTTTTTAATGTTGGCAAAACATTTTGGATATCCATAGGTCGCTGGTTCATATCTGGCCCGGAGGACCAAAATGTTCCTTGAATGGGTGTATGTCCAAATACAGTGGACTATCGCTTTATTAACTTTAACTTCAAACTTCGTACAGAAATTTCAGCGACCTTTCTTGACGAAAACACAAAGCGGAAGGAAGCTAAGGTTAAACTTTTGCCAACATTAAGAACCGAATAATAAATTGGAAAGAATGTAGAGGTTACTATAATGTATTTTAAGGTACAGTACTATCCCAGGATTTTCCAGAAAGGACTCGAGATAAATCATGGGGAACCATCAGGGGAGTTGACTCTGGGCTGAGATTTGAACCTGGACTTCCATACGCACCTTCCGAAAGGTGGAATGATGCAACAATAAAATAAATAATCTTCCTGTCATAAATGTTACTTTAGTGTAACTTTGATCCTTATTTTTCATCTGAATATATATATCATCAACTTTGACCCATACGATAACGAAAGTAATAATCCTTACAGAGGTACGAAAATAATTGTGTAAATTTGTAGAAATGGAGTTCAGTACTCACCCCCAGACAAAGCTGTCCTTAGTCCTTCTCTTCCAATCTGTAACAACCCTTGTCGAATATCACGCAATATCTAGGAAGAGGTAAAATTTATTTATAATGAATGGCAGTACTACAGAAAGTCATGAAATTCAGAGTTTTTGTAATTGCAACACGATGAACTGAAAGCCCTCATTACTTTTAGCAGAACTACGCAGTAGCCCGTCTACATTAATCACAGGAAGTTACGCGAGAGGTTTTGAACCTTGGCATTTCTGTTCCATATCTTGGCAATAAAAAGATCTAGAGAAATAACCTCAAAAACTATTAAAACATAAAATATTATAGATATATCCAGTTCTCCTAAATTTTCTACATACAGAGTAAGGCATTGTCCTCATTTCCATATGTTAAATGCATCATTAGTTATTTTCAGTATTTTATCTCCTTTACAAATAGAAATTTGCACCACATAAGACGTCTAACTTATACTTCATAGTAATTATTTGCACACACAATATAAAATAGTGAATCACAGTCATTAGTTTTGTCCATGTTAATATTAATTTTACTATTGAACTGTTCATCTGTAGGTGAAATATAATTCATAACCAATAAAAACATTCTTACTCAGTTTTCGAGAATGAATGGCATCCATACCTAACCTCATTCCTGTCAATTAGATATTCTTCTTAAATCAAAGTTGGAACTATACATACCACCTACTTTAAAATTCAATAATTCTGCATTTTGCACACAGATTTTATGTATGGATTTTACATAATAATCAGAATAATAGCAAATTTTTACAAACTGATCTTTGTAATGAAGACCTATCGTGTTTTCTTTGAGAAAGGAACTGAACACTTAAACATTATTTAAATCATCTTCGCTTTCAAAGGGTTAATGAACTTTAGCTCTACCCTTTTCCTTCAAAGTTACAATATCACAATTAAAATGTATTATATTCCACTATTTAAATTTACGCCATTTTTGTATCTTTGTGATTAGACAATTCAGGATGCCTTTCCGATAGGACACACAGACGAAGACGTAAAGTAAACGTAATGACGCATCAAGGAGGTAAAAAAGAGATACAAGTCGAGAATAATTTCGACCAGAGCGAAGATCAAGGGAGGAATTCTGTTGGAAGAAAACGAGCAGAAATATATGTTGAGATTTTTTCTTTTCCTGTATCGTCTCAGTCTTCCGAGAGTATCGAAAATCTAATCGAAAGGAATGACAAATATCACGACATTGCGCTGCCGAAAACCCGTATCTTTTTAGACGATAATGGACGAGGGGAGACGAAATAAGGCAAAATAATACGTTCACGCTTTTTTTGCACTGCAGCGTCTGAGAATGTCAAAGTAGCAGAATTCCTTCCTCAAAGACCTAAAACAAGAATTACTACTAACTTGTGGCTGTTAATTTCCTGCTTCAGTTATGCACATCATTATCCATGGACCACAGACCTTGTTGAGAAGCTAACAGTAGGCCATCTGGTCAATAAATTACCAGTCTTGTCTAAAACCCGACTGTTAATAGCCGTGTTCCCACTGTGCCTAGGTTTTAAAAAAAAGTGCTTCCCTTCATGCTTTCCGACTAAAATGTTGCGTGCATTTCTTGTTTCTCCCATGAATGCTACACATGTCCCCTCTTAAATTTAATCGCCCTAATAATATATGGAGAGGACTACATATTATTCATTTGTATTTTTGTAAAGTATTACCGTTACATGTTTGATTCAGCAACAGACAACAGTTATCGCGTGCATGGGAAAACGTAAATATTTAAAAAGGCTACATGTTTCGACACCTAGAATGTCATCATGGGACCTTACTTCTTTCATTAGATGCAATTTACAAACTTTACGTGTCATTAAACAGAAATATTTTTACACACTTGTAGTACTGATATTAATACTGCGTGAAAGATAAGATTCTAAAATTAATTTAACGAAAGTACAAGTCTGAAATTATATTGTTTATAAAAACATTTCGTGGTGTTGCGTGATGCCTCACTGTCCCGTCAGTGCCAAGTGTAATAATTTATCGTCAATAGTCGCATTCTGTTCAGAAATTTCATTGTGGGAGGTGAATAATATTTACATAATACACTATTATTTTTTATACCATTCAAATACATTAACGCGCAATCGTCATTTGTTTCAATGTTTTCTTGGAATGCGTCACTTCACTTAGCAGCTATGGTCTTTTGATTTTTTTTTAAAAAAACCCTGCCCGTCTTCTAATGAATATTATTAACAAATTTTCCAGATCAGCTAAATAACTACTCCAGACGGCCTTGTTCCACTTAGTTGTGAACTAATCTTTTTCACATTTCCCGTTTGCAACTGACGTGACGGATTTTTTAAACAGGAGCTGCTAACATCAATGAGGTTTAATTTTCATTGTGGGGTGAAGCCCTCTGGTGACGTTCAGCGCCATGGCTGCTGTTTGTGGCCTCGGGGTGGAGGAATATGGTGGCATTCCCAAAGGAGCTATAAAAACCACTGGTGAGGTGACACTAAAACTTTTATTGTGAGACCCTAAGCGAAGAATGTTGCTATCTCCCTCTGTCTCCCTACACAATGTCCCCTCACGGTGAATCCCCCGAAAGCTGCAGAGTCACGAATACACGCTGAAGGTTGCATTTCACTCCACTGAAGTATCTTCTCGCGGAGAAAGTTAACCTGCTCTGCGATGGTGGTAATATATTTTATTTCCTGGTAAGATCTGCATACCAAGTACAAATTCTATCTACGTCAAATTATCTGACATAACCTCAAATTTAGCACGCACTGTTTACTTATATACAATATTCAAACACAATTTTTGAGCCTGTGTCTTACACATACCAAATTTCGCATGTGATTAGTTTGTTTTAAAATCAAAGCAAAAGGTGAATATCCATCATCACGGCGATTATGTAGTCATCAAGTACCAGATTACACGACAATGAAATCCAGAAGACAGAAGAGACCTGAACTTTTCACGTTTTAGTACTGGTATTTGAAAGTAAAAGATATAAAAGTCGCAAATAATGTATTTAGAAAATCTGATTATACGTTTAAATTCTTGAAACTAGGTATTTTTCAGTGCCTTGTGATAAGCAAGTAGCTACTAAACAGGGACCTTTAAAATAGCAATTTTAATTTCTAATTATTTTCTGAACACGTAAACAGCAGGTAGGAGTTTCTGCAGTATAACATAAAGTCTTTACTTTTTCTTCCATCAAGCATTTTCTGAACTTATAAGGTCATCCATAAATGATGTAACACTTGGAGTGATAAGAAACTCTTGGAAGGGGCGGAAGGGGTATTGAGGGGAGGAGAGACGCGTCACTCTGTCACGAACTTTCATTAATAGTACGCTTTCGTCTAAAATGACGTCACGTTGGCAAAACCGGATCAGGACCAGGATTTTATTATACCTCTCCCTCGTCTAATCTGGTAACTTTTACTTTTCTCGGTCTTCTATATCTGAATTGTGTTTTCATGTGGAGATTTTCCGAGCAAACTTGTTACAACGTTTTTTGATCTATAAGCGTACGTCTAAGGCTGATTTTTTCTTTTATTTTGACAATTCAACTGTTACCGCAACATGTTATTACATTTATCTGAATATAAAGCATGAATATCTTCCCACAAATAAATCAAACAAAAAAATTGCATCATAATCACGCAACTCAATACTGTCTGGTACTTTAATCGTAAATGTTTAACACCATTCCGAATCATGAAAGAACTTTACAAGCCCTGACGACGAATTGGGAGAATGGACCTACAGCTCCACGTATTCTTAACCTCGACAAAAGAAGGAGATGATTGGTCAATCATTTAGTCCCACGCTTCAACAGCTTTACAGCCACATAGAAGACAGCAAGTCCCATTTGCCACATTCAGCTTCCAGTAATGCTGACCACTGAAAACCATTTACAAACACACATGCGTTGAGATGGTTATTATCGTTTCGGTGGCATTTACTGCTTCCGTCTTCAGGGCATAAACTGTACTTCTACATGGTTTCTACTGAACCAATACGAACCAAAATAAAATTTCAGTAGTGTCGAATATGATACACAGAAGTTACTTTATACAAAAGATTCTTCAATACGCAGAAGGAAATTTCCCTACTGTAAGGTTGGTGTTCTGGAGAAGAAGACAAGGTATTCTGACTTCCCTAATAAACTCATTACTTGGTAGACAGTGTGATCACACGAACAATAAAAAGTAATTTATCCTTCATGGTGTTCGTTTCAAATACAAAAGTATGCAGTTACGCAGGGGTCTTGGAGGTCTGGTAGTAAAAGAACCTTACTCATAGGCTCAGCACTGCGTGGTTTATGATTATTTGCGTACGGGGAATTAAATGGGAGAAGATCCAGGAGAGAAGAACAGAGGGATGAAGAAAGATATGGTGTGAGAGGTCAACATCTTTGGGGTACGACTGACCCCACGCCCCATAAAACAGTTTATATGGTCTGTGTCTGGGGATGCCGGAGCGCTGAGGGATCAGAAAAAAAGAAGAGATAATCAAAACTACGATAGAAATAAACGGACATGGGGGCACAGAAACCTCAGAAAATTACTTCCTTATGTTAAACAGAAAGCAAATACCAAGCTGTATATTAAATTTCTTGCTACGTACAGACTTAGTGAACGCTAACATCACAAGGAGGGTGTCAGCTTTTAAGAATCTTATCTCACGTGGCCTAGAACTCCACAAAATTTAGGAGTCAACTTCTTTTGTCATGGGTTTTTAACCAGGGCTAATTAAAATTAAAGCTGTCCCACTGTACGTCATGTTCGCGCTTGGGGGGAGAGGTGGTATAGCTCCTACTCATTCTTAACCTCGACAGTATGTGGTGGTGAGTGGTCAGCGTCACGTCCTGGTAATAAGTAAATCAAAAATGCCACTAGAAATCTACTCAGTTCGATACAAGAACAGCTTTACCGTATAACATGCTATTTATTATTTAAATAATACTAGCGAATTCAGTCCGTACCTCAAAGAAAACACATTTCCATGACAACGTTCAACTGGTTAAAGCTGTTTAACGAAACAATCCCTGTTTGAAGTGAGAAGCACACGGAACCCATCAAAATGACGAGTTCCTATGTTAAAAGCAGGTTGGAAATATAGCTACTACTGGGCTTTAGAGGGCTAATGATTAGTTAGCACACTGCATTACCTACCTCTTCGTGTTCCTTGTGAAATCTCTCTCGTTTCTTTAGCACTTCCTGGACTTTAAGCTGAAACAAACAAACAAACAAAGCAATGATAGGTTAACATCATTTCAGCCCCCTTTAATTAGATTGCAGAAGATTACTACGGGCTGAGAGATCCATCACATGGCACGACCTATAAATTTTAGCTCTGGAAAGCAAACGCCCAGCTTTGCCAAACGTTACAAAGTTTCGCAGCAGCTGTACAGTACTGAGAATACAATCTAAAACAGCTCAAATCTTGTCTACATGTCAAAACACCCTGAAAAGATAACAAAAAATTAATTCCCTCAATAAACACAGCGATCTCTCTCAGTTCTCTGGTGGAGGAAGGTACGTAATGTTTATGTTTTTAAGCTGGTATTATGGATACTTAGTATAATGAGTACAGACATTACTCATGTCTTAGTTTGTTAAAACATAGGAGTCATTAATGCACTGTATAATAAGGTTATAGCCACGGTGGTCTAGCGGTTAGAACGCTGGCCTTGTAATCCTGGGGTCTCGGGTTCGATTCCCGGCGGTGCCCGAATTTATAACTTGTGTTGGGCAAGGCCGTGGTCTAGGCAACACGGAGTTTTCCTCCGGGGGCTTCCCCGGTTTCTCCGTGGCATCCCAACAATTACTCCATTCACACACAGAAGAAGGCAATGGCAAACCGCTTCTGGATCATCTGCCAAGAACGTATATGAACAGGTCCCAGTCCGAGAAAAGGATGGAAGGATCCTGTTCATATGGACCTGTCGTCAGACAGAACACTAAATAAATAAATAAATAAATAAATAATAAGGTTGCTCTTGGCTTTGGTTGTGTAACTGATTTTAAGGCTAGGTTTACGTTACGTAAAGGGTTTTCTGTTATCCTGAAATGGGAAAGTCGAGGCAAAATTCCCTTACTTGTGTTTGTACGGTCTAACTTGTATTATGGATAAAACACACACTTGTTATTTTTGGCATTCAGTTGTTCTGGTAATGTTACACCAAGAACCCCTTGAACAGGGGTTGCTAAGAGACGCATTGACGCCATGAATTTGTACCTTTATCAAGTCTGAAAAGGGTAAAAACATCTGTAACGGTAGAGAAAAAAGTCCTGGCTGAAAACATCAGTCTCAGGTTTCAGTTCTGCTTTACGTGAACGTTCTGTTTGTAATTTATGACTTCGTTTTATTGATAAATAATATTTTATTATATTCACGTGGTTCACTTATTGAGGTAAAATGCGTTTTGAATAAATAGTACAATTCTTATTTCCTAAAATTATGACATCATCCACACGCAAAGTTAGAATAACAGCTGTCATGGAGATCCTACGTACAAATCGCAAAAAACTACACATGCAGTATCAGATTTCAAACAAACGCAAATCCCAAGCAGAAAATCGAGTGTGTTCTTCGTTCAATCAGATTGAGTTACCATGGGGAGCCAACAGAATACTTGGAAAATAGGCGTACTTTCACCAAAGATACGGCAATCGAAAGTCAAAATAGATTTCGTCTTTCATTAGACAGATTAACAGTTTCTACGAAGACGCGGCTAGAAATTAAAGTCGTTTAACAAAAACAAATGGAAATCCCTTACGTAAAACCGAGTGTCCCCTTCAAGCAACTGGTTTTATTACACATCTGCAACACAGATTCAGACAAACAAAGAAGAATCTACTCAACTAAACAACTGCAAGACAAAATAAGACTGTTCATCTTTCATCAGTATAGAAAAAATAAGAATAAACAGATAACAAAGCAATTAAATATAAAACACGCGATGCAAAATATAAGTTTCCTGTTCAGTCACCCAGAATAACACGGCATCCATAAATATGAGATACAGTTTTATGTAAAATTATTACGATATTACATCTACGGTTTACGAATGTACCGAAGTATCACAGATACGTCACGTATCCCGTGCTTACGTTGGTCTGGGCCAATTTGACCATTGAGTGGAAAAAAAAGGATGTGTAGATGAAATCGCTACCCGCTGGAATGTTCAGGACGACATAAAACAGGATTAATAACGGAATTTTCCCTCTTCTATCACAGAACAGCGTCCCTTTTCAGTGTATTGAATACAAGCCCTTACTAGTCTCGACAACATCCGAGAACAACGGCTTTTGTCAAGGGACTGCTAGAAAGGGAAGCATGGAGCTGGTGGAAAAGAGAATAGTAAATCGACAACGCTATCAAATGCGAGCCAATAAGCTGAATATTTATGCGCATGCGCAGTAAACCATAGATTTTCACTCGTATAACAGCACATCATTTGATCATTTCTCAACTACAGCTACTAAAAAAGTGAATCTTTCATTGTATTACCCCAGACACTACCTGACACTGACCACTGAAATCAGACACAGTCGTAAGTCAAAAGACTGTGCAGGAACACGCTGTTATGTTATGACGTACTAAGACGACATTCCGGGACCCACAAAAAGTTCAGGGCAGGTCTGGATACGGTAATGACAGTTTTGCGAAAGCGTTGTGGTGATTCCCCCATAATTACATTTCATAAATGAAACAGTTAACAGAGTATCAGAGTTATTTTCAAGATGCTGAAATTCCCTGATCTGGTCAAGACGTTACCCATGCTGTACGGTAACACGAGGGACACTAACGCGTCTATAATTCCGCCAAAAGGCCCTGTCCTGAAACATTTCAATTCAGTCCACACTTTATCATTCAGCGAAGAAGTAAATATGGAACCCTTTCTCACCCTGTGGATGGTTTCTTCGAAGTTGTTACCCGTACCGCCATTCATTTGCATAAATCGAATATGGTCGTAGTCCCTCGGATCGACTACAGATGGCAGCATGCTCTCCGCCATACTATCTGGCGTTCCAACCTGCAACATAAAATTACCCAGACGAAAACCTTAATAACATGCAATTCGTGGTCGGTCAGCTCACAGAAAGTAAGAATAAATGACACAGTGTTCTGTTGCATTAAAGCGTCATGAAATTTACATGTATTATCAAGTCGCCCAGAAACAGGTGTCAAACAGGTGGCGCCGAAGTGCTGAATGAGAACTCAATTTACACTAACTCCTGACAAAAGCTTTTTGTCATCGATGCCACGTAGAAACGACCTAATATATCGATACATTTCGGTTGGGGCACATTAATCGATATGACTACCAGCATGTCTCCATGACTGCATAAGCTTAGTAAAATGTGTCTAAAATGGAAACATCTTTCCTCTGGTCCCTGAAACATAAAGCAAAAACCGATTTAAACAGTTTACAGACCTGTACACAGCATATTTCTAGAAAGCTATCTCATGTTTAAGAAATGTATTTTCGTCAAAAAGTATAAATTTATTACCAGTATTTGAGGAAAATACATAGCTTTAATGCGTACACGTTAAATAACGGCAAGAAATATCACTGAATATATTTCTTTCTGTTCCGTCTTACATTTATCTTCGTCAGACGCAGAAGTCTTACAGTGCAAAGTAACATTTTAAATGTAAAGTAAAGAAACTTCTTTAACCTAATTATAAAATGTAACAATAATATATCACACAGCTTTTCCTCCACTGACTAGACTATGCATATATCATGAAGAAACTTGAACGAACTTCGCCAGTTAGCTTGTTTAGTAGCGCCGCGCTTCGGGATATTGTAGAACTATCAATTAGAAGTTATTATAACACTGCTGACACCTGTATCGTCTTCCAATAAACCGAGGTATTTCTGCAGTTTATAAGCAACAAATTGTGTGAGACCACTTTCGACGCTACAAAGCGCTAATGGTTCAACACGAAATTAAAAATGGCATGCCATTCGATACTTTCGCTTTAAATAAAACAGGTTATTATGCGTTATTAGCACGAAATACTGAACACATAATGGAGAGCCATATCTGTTTATCCATCCATTGTCATGTTCAGCCATTTTACCGGATTTACAGTGGAATCAAAACCAACTTTCAGTTCTTCATTTTTTCAAGCTGAAGAAAGCAAATGAGAGTGCTCAGTCTTTTGTTTCATATTTTTGGATGGTGTTAGAACACTGTCGTGCGAATGTTTGACAGAGACGACCGTCAGCGGAAGTGACTAAAAAGTTCAAGGTCACACATTTCGCTCTCCAAAAACCTGCACGACTTTTGGTCCCTTAAGGACGGAGACTGATACGCAGGTTCACCAACTACAAACGCTAAAGTTTTAATTGCATTTCTACTGTTTCTTACTGCAGTACCACTAAAATAAGCAACCATAAATTCTTTTTTTTGTAGTTCATGAAAATATAACTTGTTTTAGAGATGAGAAAGAACTTTTTCCATTACGTTCCAGTCTTTTCAGCAAAAATTCCAAAAAAACAAACAAACACAGATTTTGGTTTAAAAGTGCATTCAAATATTTATCTTTAATCTTCAGGATGCGTGACTTTTGGAACGTATTGTACTTTTATACAAATCAAAGGAATCTGAAGTTTCCACGGCGGTGAGTCCGAAGATGGCTGTCTTCTGGGTTGTAGCACCCTGATGATGGCGGCGGCAAGGACCTCTGAAACGTTGGTAAACTTCTACCAGACTACATGGCGCTACAACCCAGAAAACAGCAATCTTCGAAAACAAAAGTGGGATGTAACACGATGATATTCGGAAGTTGAGACATTTCCAAAACAAGCTATTTCTAACCTTCCAATTATGGTGGATGCACTAACAGACGCCAGTATACTGCGTATAGGCTAGAAGGTTTAATAATACTCGAACTATTAAGGTAATGGGTTTGTTATCAGCGTTCAAACGTCTGTCAGTAAGCAATTAACAAAGTTAACTCAGCATTGTCTAACAAAACACTGTAATTATAGAGGAATACCGATGTTTTTGTGGTGACAAGTTCTAAGTTATCAACAAGAAGTCTTTACTCAATTTAAATGGGTAATCGTTTATTCTGTTTCGTAGGTTCGCCCGTAGAGGCAGCACTTAAAACTCTCGTTTTAAGTGCGCCAGTCGCTCAGTCAAGTTCTTTACGACTGTCTCTCGCCTAGATCTTGGATTTACCCAATGAGACATCTGCGTCTCCTCCCCCCAACGTTCATCTAATTTTCTGTTCGTGCTCTCTCTTCAGTAGTCAATGCTATTAGCAAGGAGTTTCAAAATCTGTACGCACATCATAGGGACAAAAACTAATTTTACCTCTTTAGAACGTTATATTTTAACAACAATTTTTTATTCCTTTGAAGAAAGACATTTTGTCAGATTCCACGAGTATGAGAAGACTGTCTTCTGGAAAGAAAAGAGACCTATGCGTAGATAAACCGAAAGATATGTTAATATGAGAATTGGTCTTTAAGAAATAGCGTGTTTACATGCGGGACGGATTCATCCGCCTCGGGACAGGGTCAGCCAGTTGGCTTTTGTGAGCACGGTAATGGACCGTATGATTTCATAAATATCAAACTGTTTTAACCAACTAAACGAATAATAGTTTCTCCAAATCTTCTCTGTACCATGGAGTTAATTCGTATAAAATTTCGTTTAAAATATACACGTCATTATATTCTAAAAATTTAAATAGACACAAATATCGATTTGATCAAAATTTAAGAAAATACGGAACACTAATTTGCGTTATGGCAAGTGTTCTGAATTCGGACACCATCGTCTTGTACGTGGTTAAAAATGCTTCGTAGGAACCTGCTGCACCCATCTTCAGTTAGGAGGCAAAAAGTTTACCGGAATGTCGGTTAGGATAATACTACATGGCGTCAAAATTCAGAAGACTACAACCCAACGTATCACAGCCGTAGAAACCTTAAATTGTACACAAACTGACTAAATAACGTGGCATCAGCTGATTAGTTTTTAAATCAGAGAATTTGGTCATACAACAAAGGAGGTACGTCACAGCGTAAAGAATGCACTTGTAAAATATGCGTAAACCTGAGTCGACGTCCCCAATGTTATTGGCATTAAGCAGGGTTGAGACACAACACGACGGGACGGCTTACAAGACGTTCCGACGGACCATAAGGAGCTAATTCCACAACTTAAGTCAGCAGACCGTAAGCAGTAGACGATCTCGTGTTTTACTTAGCTCCTGCTACTAAGATTTATCCAAGACAGCCCTCCCACACCTTTAACCCCACCAGTTCATTTGACTTTCTCAAAGCAAAAGCGGTATAAGTAAGATCTTCACTTTTTGCCTGCAAAAGTATTCACGGAATATTCCAAATATTAAAGCCGATTACTCTATTAAGATGGCGAAGACAAAGTGATACTGCATGCTACATGTATTATGGGCTGTACCTTCCAATGAACCATATATACGTAGTCAAATTTATGCCCTGGGAAATATGATAAGGAATTGCCCTTAAGAAAGTTGGATTTTCTGTTCGTATGACGAATGACAAAAACTTAGAACGCCATAGCCAGTTAAAAGTTTCGATTTACAGGGGCGTCCTGTTGACGGAACTTCATCCCTCGAACTATGAAAACCATCTAGAAGCATGTAACTTTACGCTGGTATAAAACAATGTTACGGTTACACATACCCCTTTAGTTAACACCAATATGTGCACCATTAAAAGGTGAAAATGGTAGAATAGACCAATTTCATTACGTTACTGGAACACCTTACTACTCCTTTAATTTCAGGAAGGCGTTCCTTTTCAGCAGAAAAATAAAAATGAACAATATCGCGGATAAAACTGTGATAATGTGTGGCACAGTAGTTACCTGCATAGTGGTAATTAAATCCAATGCGTTTTATTATGACCAAGGATTAAAATAACCCTAAAATTTTACTTTTGTGTACGAGTAAATAGTTTCTGCAGATATTAACAACATAGATGCAGGCTGTAGGCGTGGGGCTTAATGTTCCCGCTACCTTCATCAATTTATACGTTCTTACAGTACCACGCTGTATTCATTGTGTATAAGACACATATAAAATAAAAGGCATATTTACAGCGTCCTTAAGGATTTTATCTTAGTTAACTTACCACCAATTTATTTGCCAACTTCCTCGAAGGACAGCAAATCTTACGAAAATATGGGACTGACCAAAAGCACACGTAACATTTCTATTTATAGAGACTTTAACGAGATGATATAAAATGGATTTAAACCTTTCATGTTCCTTTCAAAATTAATACACTATAATGATCTCTCATATAAAATTTATTTAAACTGCTATAATTCTCACACAAAAAGGCGTCAATGTCATTTTCACTTCAGAAGTTCGCAGCAAGGTAGGACCTCGGAGCCGGTCTGGATTCGAGGGGAAAAAATAAACATCTGTCCCTGCTGGGAATCGAACACCGGTCGTCCAGCTCGAAGCCTAGTCATTATAATCACCGAGTTAGTCGTAGAGAATTTAAAAAATACGAACGTTCGGCACTACGAAAGACAGGAGCAGACACACAAGTAAAACCTTGCATGAGTAAATATGCATGATTTAATAAATTTCTTTTGCATTAAAAGAGAAAACTATTGTAAAGTATTTTTTATTTTATTTTAGACGTCTGATACATCTGACGTAAACCTCTGCATCACTAGGTCATGACGACATAGCTCCTTCTTCCAATCTAAAGTTGAAGAAGTACACTCAGAGAGACGCAAATTTTTAATTCACTTCCAGGGGTGAGAATTTGGTTGTTAATAGCTTAATTAACAAGGACCCTCGTTTAAAATATGCATAAAACTTATCAAGCTACACATTTTAAAAATCCTGTTACGCCCTGTCCTGTCCTTTCCTTTCTCGGTCTTCTTAGTCCATTTTCCATTATATGACCTTACACACTTCGTCTCGAGCATTGTTCTTCACCTGTCATGTCCACACTGGATCTCTTACACTCCCAACTTCCTTTCGCCATCCTTCTGACTTCATATTACTTAC